ATATGATCTGACCCCTAATAATAGAGGGGGCCTGGAAGTCGTGCAGCCGTCCGAGTAACGGGGCTGGTATAGTGCCAACAAAACTATGAGGAAGCCAAATGGTAAAGGGTTTTTAAATCGGTCGGTGGTAAGTAGTTTAATTGATGGTTTTGTACCACAATATACATACAAATGTTACATAAAATGGCTTGAGCAGCTTAATCAAGAAAACGGTAAGAATTACGGGGCTCGCTCTCTATCCCATAACTGTTAGAGTCTGTTAAGAGTTAGATCCTAGGTTTACACGAGACGTGGTAGCCTGTGAGCGTGTTAGAGTCTGTTAAGAGTTGGAGTCCTAGGTTTACACGAGACATGGTAGTCTGTAAGCGTGTTAGAGTCTGTTAAGAGTTAGATCCTAGGTTTACACGAGACGTGGTAGCCTGTGAGCGTTTTAAATCCTGGGGTTACACGAGACGTGGTAGCCTGTGAACGTGTTAGAGTCTGTTAAGTGTTAAGAGTCCTAGGGTTACACGAGACATGGTAGCCTGTGAGCGTGTTAGAGTCTGTTAAGAGTTGGAGTCCTAGGTTTACACGAGACATGGTAGCCTGTGAACGTGTTAGAGTCTGTTAAGTGTTAGAATCCTAGGGTTACACGAGACATGGTAGCATGTGAGCGTGTTAGAGTCTGTTAAGAGTTATAGTCCTAGAGTTACACGAGACATGGTAGCCTGTGAGCGTGTTAGAGTCTGTTAAGTGTTAGAGTCCTAGGGTTACACGAGACATGGTAGCATGTGAGCGTGTTAGAGTCTGTTAAGTGTTAGAGTCCTAGGGTTACACGAGACATGGTAGCATGTGAGCGTGTTAGAGTCTGTTAAGAGTTATAGTCATAGGTTTACACGAGATATGGTAGCCTGTGAGCGTGTTAAATCCTGGGGTTACACGAGACGTGGTAGCCTGTGAGCGTGTTAGAGTCTGTTAAGTGTTAGAGTCCTAGGGTTACACGACTCACGAGACATGGTAGCATGTGAACGTGTTAGAGTCTGTTAAGAGTTATAGTCCTAGAGTTACACGAGACATGGTAGCCTGTGAGCGTGTTAGAGTCTGTTAAGTGTTAGAGTCCTAGGGTTACACGAGACATGGTAGCATGTGAGCGTGTTAGAGTCTGTTAAGAGTTATAGTCATAGGTTTATACGAGACGTGGTAGCCTGTGAGCGTGTTTAATCCTGGGGTTACAAGAGACGTGGTAGCCTGTGAACGTGTTAGAGCCTGTTAAGTGTTAGAGTCCTAGGGTTACACGAGACGTGGTAGCCTGTGAGCGTGTTAAATCCTAGGGGTTACACGAGACGTGGTAGCCTGTGAATGTGTTAGAGCCTGTTAAGTGTTAGAGTCCTAGGGTTACACGAGACGTGGTAGCCTGTGAGCGTGTCAAATCCTGGAGTTACACGAGACATGGTAGCCTGTGAGCGTGTTAGAGTCTGTTAAGTGTTAGAGTCCTAGGGTTACACGAGACATGGTAGCATGTGAGCGTGTTAGAGTCTGTTAAGAGTTATAGTCATAGGTTTATACGAGACGTGGTAGCCTGTGAGCGTGTTTAATCCTGGGGTTACAAGAGACGTGGTAGCCTGTGAACGTGTTAGAGCCTGTTAAGTGTTAGAGTCCTAGGGTTACACGAGACGTGGTAGCCTGTGAGCGTGTTAAATCCTAGGGGTTACACGAGACGTGGTAGCCTGTGAACGTGTTAGAGCCTGTTAAGTGTTAGAGTCCTAGGGTTACACGAGACGTGGTAGCCTGTGAGCGTGTCAAATCCTGGAGTTACACGAGACATGGTAGCCTGTGAGCGTGTAGACCGCTCCTCTATCGTTGTTTTGAGTGTCCGATCCAAAACGAAATCCTAGGGTTCACGAACGTGGAAGCCTGTGAGCGTGTCAAATCCTGGGGTTAAACGAGATGTGGGAGCCTGTGAGTGTGTTAGTTTCCTGCGGAAGGTGTTATTTGCCTGTGGGAAAAGCGGTTATGCTGCGGTTCTAAGGTTAGTAGAGGCTATTAGAGCCTTTCCTTTGTTGTAGAGATGGCTAATCCCTTCCTTTGCATAGGTTAGAAACACCCATGCACCTCCCGTTCGAGCCACCCACCCCACACCGCGTGGAGGTTCGGTGAGGTTTTCGTGGGGCTCGATGTCATGTTATACTTTAATCTTATTAGGGGAGGGAGCACTGTTTGGGGTATGTTTGAACTGCAGAGAGAGTTCATACTTTCATACGACAATGTTATGCGTGTTTTCAAATATAATAGACAGGTGTGGTGTGGAGTTAACAAGGGTTAATTTCTAAACCGATAAAAAATGGAAAGCGGTTCAAGACGGGAGTGATGAGGTGTAATAGTCGGTGTTCGGACCTTAAGATCTTGGAATGTGTTATGTGGTGCCTAATAATGACTTAATTATCCACGAGAATGAACTGATTATGAGATTATTGTTTAAGATACTATTGGATACGTGGGACACTCCGAATAGAATTGCTCACATAATGCGGGTTTTGAATCAGCGGGTAATTACTTCTTTACTTCTACCCTTTTTAACTGCGGCAGTTAAAAATATAATATACACAACTATCTTTTATTATTAACCTAATCCCCCCAATCCCCGTATCTTACGTCGTTAATTTTAGGCTTGGAGAAAGTGGATGTATAAGAGTGAGAACGACGTTCACCCTAATCGGCGAGAAGCAGATCTCGACCTACTTCGAAATATTCTGTATGCCAAAGATTGGTTAGAAGTACAATCAAAGGTCAACGAGCTGAAGGATAAAGCATCACCACAAGTAAAGCGGTATTACATGTCAACCTACGATCCTATAATAGAAGTAAGTTTACTCTCCTGGAACAGTTCTGATTTGCTGTCAAAATAAACCAGTTACCAGAGATTGTGGCTGTAGTCCTTCACTCTTTAACAATAGCTTAGGTTTTAAAGAAGAACTTATACATCTTCAATAAATTTTATGCATTTTAAATAATCAATTTCAAAGAGATGGGCATTGCGCTATCGAACAAAAAGGATAGATAAAAGCAACACGAACAACGGTGTTGAGATTATGAACAAGGTGTTCAAGTACAGCAGCGAGGGGAAAAGAGGAAAAGTCATCCCAGTGCCAGAAATGATAACGGTGGGTTATACTTATGGTGCCTCTACCTTTTCAGCTGAACATGATATTTTATTGAATTGGTTCAAATAAATTGAAATTGATTGGATTGGTTTTTATGTATGTATATTTTCAAAGTCTGAACTGATTAACAATTTTGAATTTTAGATATTTTCCCCCGCTTACGACTGGAATTGTTTGGTTGAACACGTATTACGGGCGCAATGTCCCCCTTTCCTATTATCTCGTTCTTCTTCGTTTGATCGAAGTTGTCTGACTAGATATTGATGGCTTAATACTAACATGCTTGTTTGACAGATTTTTGTCTATCAGACATTGTCACGATAAATAGTTGTGGACTGTGGTTAGCACTTCAACCTCCCTGCGTTGTCAAATACCACGAATCACCTACATCATAAATCTGATGTTTGTTTTGTTAAAGTGTAGTGCAAAACCTCTTTGGGTTTGCCGTTTTCTCCTCTATAGTCAACCCCGAGGCCAGAACACAATGATACATGCGTATTCGGGGAGTACCTAGACCTAGATAGTGAACCATCTCTCTGAAGTAGAGTCCTTCTTGGTGATCTTGTAGCTCTTCTGGGTAACTTCAGTTCTTTCTTTAATACTTTACTTCTTCAGCTTCTTCTGCGAGACTTTCTGAGGAAGAAAAAAGAATCATATAAAGTGGAGAACTTCTCCAACGAGGAGAAAATGAAAGAGCCGACCAGTGAAAGCAGGATTAATGAACGAATAGTGTGACATTGGGTTCTCAACCATGGAAATTTAGAAGTCCCTACATGCTGTTCTTTCTGGCTCCATGTGCTAGTTAGGGGTCTGAGGTATCCGAAAAATCATGTTTTGAGTACCCAAAGTGTTCTGGGTGCCAGGAATGAGGTTATTAAAGCGGCGAAAATGACCGATTTTGGACTATTTATGAGCTTTTTTGCCCATTTTCATGAGATAAAGAATCAGGAAAGCTGCTCTAGATGATTGAAATGGTTGATACCAATGAGGATACACCCAACACACATAAATATTCGTGATATATGTGATTTTAATGAGAAAAATATGATCTCAGGGCCCATTTTATACCAAAATTTGCCAAAACCACTCGCACTTGTCAAAGCTTCCTCATTTTAGACACATTTAATGATTATTATGGTATCTAACTTATGGTGGATCTGATACGAGTATGTCTTAGCTTCATTTTAAGCCATCAATGAGCATGCTGGTGTGTATGAAAGTACTTTTATCCTCCCGTGGCCGTCCATTGATATAGTCTGGGCCATGCGCGCGCGCGCGCGCTTTTACAAACATGAATTTTCTCCCTCAGTATCTATCTAAATCTTTTAAAGACATGATTTGAATGCTATCCTACTCAGCACATGAGTGCTACAGGATGGTGAAAGAATTTCTATAAAAAATCGTTAAATGTGGAAGATATGAGGTCATTATATGTGTGTGCGCGCGCGCGCGCGCGCGCTTTTACAAACTTGATATCCTCAGTCCTTTCACATATACTGAGATTTTGTTTCAAACTTAATTGACTCTGAACCGAAATTGCCAAAGGAAACAGATAGTGTAACTCAGAAAGACCACAAATGTATAGTTTGTGAGATATTGAGGTTATACTCCAAATAATTTACAATGATGTCACACCAGAAAACCTCTATTTTTGGTATATTTAACCTCATATCTTGAACGCGCAGTACTGGATTGAGCTAAACTTGGTCAGGTTTTGTAGCCCTGACTATCCTCGATCATATGGAACAGGAATAAAACTGTTTAGATGTTCTATCTTAATTATATTAGGCACTTAGTTCTGAAAAGTGAGAATGTCATTAATACTGCTTTCACTGCGACGAGTAATGTACCCAGTTACATGGTGGAGGCACCAAAACTTCTCTGGGATTGGTGGAAAAAGGAGAGAAAACTTCGACTGAAATACGATAAGGGTGAGTTAAAAGTTTCAAACCCGCTTAAAAATACGACACTAACTTGGTGCTATATCACTACATTATATGTGTAAGGCAAATTTCTGGAGAATCGAGTATTTTTTGTAATAATTTGAATTATAAAGCGACAAAATATTATGTGTTCTCTCTTGGTTTGATTTTTTGAATAACAGCCAGTAATTTTAGAAGGTAAACGGTCAAGCAAAGTGTGCAAGGTCGTTGATGGAGTATTCCATGTGAAATCCTCTCACCGGTCTGAGCCCCACCAACTGAACATCAGAGGACCAACTTGCACCTGCAGAAACTTCAGCAGGACCCACTTCCCCTGCAGACATATTTTTCAAGCTATCGATGATGGTTTAATGAAATGGGAGGACCTACCTGAAGATTACAGAAACATACCGTTCTTCGTAAAAGATAAAGGTCTGGGAAGGTCTGTTAAATTGATCTGTATGCATGTTTACATTCCAATTTGAATAGACAAGACAAAATTGAGGTTTATAACTCGTTCATGTGCTATGGCCGTGCGTCAGCGTCGATGTAGGAGGTGTGCATGTGGAGCCTGCTAGTAGAGAAAATATGAAGTTTCCAACAGTAAATATTATTATCAATATCAAAGGCAGGGTATTACTTCGACCTCCGAGGCGAGGTATCCGTGTGGACCCTGGTTGTTATCAGGGTTGGAAAGACAAAGATAATTTTGTCTGTTAAAGTGGGTTATCACTCTCTGCCATCAGAGTCATAAATCACATCTCCGCAGGGTTTGCCAGGTTTTCCCTAATATTGCTTTGCTTCCAATTCTTATAATAGTCAAAATATAAAATCCAATATTATTTTTTCAGGAAGTGATATTGGGATATGGCCAACTGATGCAGATGTAAACAAATGCTGCGATTATCCAGCATCAGAAGACGAGGATGAAGAAGTAGAAGATGATGAGGTTGGAGAAAATGGGGATAAAAGAAAGAAGAAACGGGACATAGACTATAAAGGAGATTGGCGGGAGCTTTCAAACAGAATAGCTTCCTTCGTTAATGATCCCGAGTTTGACGTGATGGACGATGATGTCCGTGCATTATGTTTAAAAAAACTGTCAGATACCGCCAATGATGTGGCATCCTATATTTACAAAAGAAACTAATTATATAGATAACATAGATACGATTATATTTGATAATATATTACTTTAAAAGCCGTGCAATCATTTTAGATATTAGATATTAAACTAACCATATTATGATATTCTCCGTCTAACTTTTCGATCTGTCTCCATCTCACTATTCAATCTGTCTCAACGTTCATTCTCTGTTTAACTATTCAATCTCTGTCTCAGTGTTCATTTTCTTGTTTAACTATTCAATCTTTGTCTCAGCGTTCATTCTCTGTCTCGACATTCATTCTCCGTCTCACTATTCAATCTGTCCCAATGTTCATTCTCTGTCTCGACGTTCATTCTCCGTCTCACTATTCAATATCTGTCTCACTGTTCATTCTCTGTCTCGACGTTCATTCTCCGTCTCACTATTCAATCTGTCTCAACGTTCATTATCTGTTTAACTGTTCAATCTCTGTCTCAGTGTTCATTTTCTTGTTTAACTATTCAATCTTTGTCTCAGCGTTCATTCTCTGTCTCGACATTCATTCTCCGTCTCACTATTCAATCTGTCTCAACGTCCATTATCTGTTTAACTATTTAATCTCTTTCTCAGTGATCATTCTCTGTTTAACTATTAAATCACTGTTCATTCCTGTCTCGACGTTAATTCTCCATCTCATTATTCAATCTCTGCATCAGTGTTCATTCTCTATTTTAGGGTTAATTCCCTGTCTTACCCTTCAATCTTTCTCGGTGTTCATTCTCTGTCTCACTGTTCAATTTCTGTCTCACTGTCCATGCTCTGTCTCGCTGTCCAATCTTCGTGTTTCTTTCCAAGTGTTACAGCGACAAGAAGACGGAATGATATTGTTGTAAAATAAAAAGCTTGTCCGCTTTAGTTATAGTGATATTAAAACATATACAACACCATGTATTATGAAATTTTAGATTTTGTTACAAAATATGGACAGTGAATTTGATGTTGTTGTCTAATAATACAAGACGTGAGGCGCGGCGACATTATAAATTTTAGAATTGCCCGCGCATTTTAGTACTTTGCCGCGGCTCCACTAGTTTTTAACGTTTACCTACCGTCCTCTGTGTCCTCTCACTGCAATCAAAACCGTCTTGTACCGTCTTGTTGTGACAAATAGTCTACACTATCATACAGTAATAGTATAATATCTTAATAATGTAATACATCATATATGACAACGACACCAATTGGAAGTTCCCTGATATGATTGCCGTTTGAATCTCTGGATCTATTTTTTGATCTATTTTTATATTGATATGATTTTTATATACCTATATATTCCTCGCATAATTTCCATGTCCGCCTAAATAAACCTGGCACCATCAAATCTTGACGGATGTTACTCGTCTGAATTTCTTCGAAGTAGCGCGCGCCGCTTTCTTCTCGAAATGTTATGGCAAGTGCTACGAAGTAGCGCGCGCCGGGCCAGACAATTAACAATGGTCAACATCAAATCTTACCTCTAGAAACCCCAGAACTCATCAAGCCTAATTTGAATTCAAAACTAGTTGACCAGCTACGTACAGTTTCCTGGACAATTGGAACCTTTTTGGCCATGCACAAGCTAATATAGCATGTATGGTCCTGCAGTGGGGTCTCCGACCTCCGTGTCCTTGGATATCTGTGTACAACTCGTGGCGCGCATGTAATTTAGGTAGGGGGTCGTTCACATATTACGTAATCATTTTTGAACATTTTTACCCCCCTCTGTGATCAGTTTTACACATAGCTATTGTGTCAAAATTACACTTGTAGGTTTGTACAACCTACCAGAACGAGCGCAGAGTTGGACTCGTCGACGGTCCTGGAACAGATATTTTAAGAGTATCACCCGTTAAAATTACACTAGCGTAATCTTTCGGAAACCCCCCCTCAGCTCATATCACAGCTGATTACGTAATATGTGAACGACCCCTAGGTTATAATTCGCGCTCACTAAATTGTAAATCGCTCGCCCAAACTTTTGCCATTCAACTGTTAACGGCGCACATTTTTGTATTGGATAAATTGCAAAATATTATTCATAACACTATATTTTCCAATTATAGTGAAGAATAGTGTGCTATATTTTCCAATTATATTGGAGAATAGTATGCTATATTTTCCGTTATTATATTGGAGAATAGTGTGCTATATTTTCCAATTGTATTGGAGAATATTGCGCTTTATTCTCCATTATATCTGAGAATATTGCGCTTTATTCTCCGTTATGTCTGAGAATAGTACACTATATTCTTCATTATATCGGAGAATAGTACGTTATATTCTCCAATTATATTGGAGATAGTGTGCTGTACTGTCCAATTATATTCAAGAATAGCCAAGTTTAGTCGTAAAATCACGAAAAAGTCCAATTCTTTTGCAAGTGCAACAATCTAATCAATAAAACCCTTTTTGACATGGAAATTTGACCAGTTCAAGGGCCAATATTAAAGAAGAAAACAGCTTATTGAAATATATACAAATTCTCGCTTCTTGATCTCAGCTTTGTTGAAGCATTTTATATCATCAGGGTAAAATTCATAGGTTTTCTTTTGAATAAAATATAAAGTCGTATTTCGTAATCGAAGTGCCTAAAATGTTGGTAATATTTCGAAGGTTGATAAGCTAGTCACAGAAGCGTCATATTTCAAATTGATACCTGTTTAACTATAGTCGGATATCCGTTCAATCCCCCCCCCCCCCCCCCCCCCCCCGGCCTCGGCTGATTACGTAATATGCGAACAACCCCTAAGGTAATACCGTGCTTTCCGTTCGATTGCAGTGACTTCCATATTTACGTTTAATACCATTCTGAAACCAGAAATATTGTGACAGTGAACAGGTAGCTGGAAAAAGGATATTTTTGTTTGCTTTTATTGATCAAATATGATCATCAAAATTTCAACCGCATCAAAATGAGAATAAATCACTGAAACCTCCAAACACTGTATTTTGAAAATGTTTCAAATTACATTGGAAAATACAACGACTGTTCAATTACATATTCGATCGACACATTTTCATTCAGTACTTGCAACATAATTTTAAGCGGTTACCTTGTCCGTAATTTGGTACTATTAACTGCCGTGAATAATCTCCATAGTAGAGATATAACCGTAATATTATAATTATATCTCTTCTTTATTGCTATTATTACACTAATTGATCCTAAAAACCCATATTTAATAAAATGAAATCATCAACACCGACACTAAAATTGAAAAGCCATAACCTCCAAATTTAACATCATTTTCATCAATAAAAATGTACATCACGTGTTTGCACCGGGCAAAGTCTTTTATCACAAATATAGGAGCATCATGCACAAAAAATAAATATAACTTATTCACTTTCAAGTTTGTTCAAATATCAGGCAATTAAAGCGGTTTTGATTTCGGTTTGTGAGTGTAAGGAGAGCTCCCACAGTCTTTTGAAAATGGAGATAGCCGACGACGATTGAGTTTTCAAATACGTACTATAGAATCTAACGATCGAACAACATATGACAAAGTCGTTTTTCTACAGTAATACTTAATAGCTCTTGAGTAGTAGGAGTAAAAATAAACATGATTTACCATGACACTAAAAGATACACACAAGGACTTAGAAGTTCAGAAAGGTAGCTAATATTTCACAGGAAACCGCTTTACTTACTACAGTTTTATTTCTTTAATAATAAATTATTGAGCTCGTTAATAGCGTGAGTAATGATAACTGCCTCAAATCTCAAACATCACACACGTACAACTTTTTAATAATAAACTTAACAACCGAACCAAGCGCCATATCGTCTCCGTAACGTCGGAGATCCCTGATGACGTCAGAGATCTCGCTGATGAAGACACGTGATGAGTCACGTGGTGTCACCTCATCCGGGATTGTTGTTCTGCAGGGACATGGTGCGAGTCCTGCTGTTTCCCGCTGAATCTCTGCTCCCTTCCGACAGGTGTCGCACTCTTGAGAACTGAAACAAATTCTGTTAGAAGTATTGTACTTTTGAGAGGGAACTGCGCTGAATCAAAATATAGGCTCAAATAATTTATTTCAAATCTAAAATCAACATAAACAGTTTAAAGTTAAAGGTCAGAATACAAAATGAACATTTTTTACATCTTCAAAAGATTATATCTGAACGACTAAACGCGATGAAACATCAACTAATAGACTAGATTTAAAAAAAGATAATCAAATTCCACAAAAGTAAACAGTCGCCTCAGCAAAAATAAAACGAGCTGTATGGCATGCCATAAAAGGTCGCATGCGTATGACACACTCACTCATCAATCCATCTGATTCTTAGATCATTTTATTCAATGATAATACTCCTAAAACATGCTTAATTGTAGAATTGTAATATTCAAGGGGTCATTAATTTCCTTCTCTAGATTTCTTTATCAGGATTTCTTAAAACCCCACACTTATAGTTTTTCAGCCATTATCATTGGTGTGTCAACAATAATCCTAACACTGGCTAAAACCATTGCCCTAAAATATGCAAACTATAATTGTGGGGCTTTCTCTATAAACAACGGCCATCCAACGGATTAGTGCAAGACGACGGATCGTGAAATATAGAGACAAAAGAGCGGTTTGGGGGACGAATAGAAAGTTGCTTACATGATGAGGCCGAAGGGCGGGGGAGGGACTGCGGGCCCCCATGGGGACACAGTACGCATTACCGGGAGAAGAGAGAGTCAGCGGGTTGATTCCCTGAGAGAGTTGTTCGTTCATGTGCCTGAAATGATTCCATGTTTAGACAATTATTCGGCTATAAACTCTTATCACACAACTTGCATAACTCAGTGCTAATGCAGCTGAGACAAGCAATGATTTCAATGTGACGATAAGCAAAGTTATTTTAACTGTATGAGGTGTCCATATGATAACAAAACACTCATGACTGCTTGTACGTGGTATTACTGGCAAGAATTCTTGTGAAATGACGACGCAGTGTAGAGACTGCACGTGATAAATTCGATTTAAGATGGTGGTACGTAGTCGAGGGTTTTGAAAACTTCCAATTAGGGGCCCAAGTCGTCGACTATACGTCAGTTAGCGTTAATTTAGTGAATCTTTCGGAAAGCCCGCATGGTTTTAGACGGAAATAAGACTAAACGTGCGCGCGAAGTTTACTTTGCTTTTAATGCAGGCCAAGACAAAATCTGCTAGTACCAAAAGATGCATCAACTGAAAATGTGAGTATCTGCTTGAGGGATGCGCTTCGCAAGTTTTAACAAAAACCGATACAATTGACCAATAGGAAAGCTATAACGATTAAAATAGGTTATTATGTCACCTACATCTAATTCATCACGAGACATTCACAATATCGGCGACACGGTCACTGGTCAGGATCATTTAATAACCGCCACTGCTTATTATGTATTATTTATTACGTTCCCACTCACATGCAATGAGGCGAATATAATTCATAATTATAAATTCACCCTTCAGCTTCCCATTCTGTGTGTATGACATAATCAAGAACGGAAACATTGTACATTCTCAAATCTGAACGTGTCATGCTCCCATCAGTCATGAGAAATTAACACTCTGTCAACTATTCAGCACTGTGAGTGAGGTCTTATGATTTCTGGGCTCGTCGAAATGAAGAGTAAATTCTGGTTCTGAATGTGACAAAAGATGTATGTGGCAGCTGATACGCAAATGTTCACATTATTATATTGTACGCGACCTTAAATAACTAGCCTCTCAATCCACCAAACGCTTTGACACGAAGTTAAAAGTTTGGACCAGCTTATTAAGGCATCATGTAGCCTCCAGGCTCGAAAAACCCCGACAAACCCCGACAAATCCCGACGTGTCGAGATATGTCGTATCATGTCGGGCCCACTGGCTACATGAGGCCTAATAGGGTATTGTTGGTATTAAACAATTTTTAAAAAATTTAAAAAAAAAAAAAAAGAAAAAAAGAAAGAAGAAAAAGACAAGACAAGCCTCATCAACAGCCCGTGACTGCCATTGATCAATCTTCTTTAGGCAACTTCTAATCACTTTTCATCCATTATTAACGAATCCCGACAAACCCCGACAAACCCTGACAAACCCCGACGTGTCGAGATATGTCGTATCATGTCGGGCCCACCGACTACATGATGCCTTTATTATCTTACTTAATTAGTAACGGACTGGAGCTGAATTCCAGGCCTTGATGACAATATCACTACAGACTTAAAACGAACAGCCAGTTTTGGATCAATATATTCCCAACATAATTCCACTCGAGTCGTGGTTAAAGTGAAAGCGAAAGTGAAAGTGAAAGTGAAAGCGAAAGCACACACTAAACTAACCTCTCCTCGTCCATTTCTAGACTGCTATTACTCTCACTAAGGGCTCTGCTGAGCTTCAGTCTCTGTTCACGTTCCCAGTACAGCTGTCTGTTTAACTTGAGGTTCTCCTCTCGTAGTCTGCATTCCTCAGCGCTCATGTTGCTCGCTTCACTGTCTGAGAGGTGTGGGGTAAGGGGGTAGAGTTTATCTCTGGTTCTAGTACAGACAATAATTATATAGTATAACGATTTAGAATATGTTATTATATATGTAGTAATAATAGAGGGCCCTACGGTATTTCCTATCGAAAAGCTAGGAAATCTGAACTCTAAACATAGATTAGTAAACGAATTTTTGACCGTAGAAACGGTTAAAATTGGTCCGGTAATTATTGGATTGATTTTTATTTGTATTTTAATTGGCTGAACCGCCAATTCTAAATCGGTAGTACACTATACATGTGCGTAAAAGTTGAGGAGGATACAATATGTGATATCGAAAGTGAAGTATAATCACTAATTAGTATACACTGAAAATGTAACTATACCCCCACCCACAAATACAGACCACAGGTAAATTACACTTAAAACCATTTCCAGATCAAAAGCCCACGTTACACAGCTCTGCCACTGATTTATGCAAATTACCGTAGCCACCAGAATGCTGGAATGTACCAGTACCTCCTCTAGCTCTGCCGCTGCCGCCGTTGCTGAGCCGGAGCTGGCGGTTAAGTCGCTGCACCTCTGTTTGTAGCTCCTTGACGCGGAGCACTAGGTCGGTGTTGTTTGTTCGCAGGGAGTTGTCCTCCATTAGCGTGGTGGAGTGACAGGGTGACGCTGGGGGCGTGCTGTCTTGACCCATCTTAGCTATCAGCACACTGGGAGTAATGTGGCATTATTTTACGGTGTTTTAAGGAAATATTATTATTATCGAACTTTACACAAATTTGAAGTAGCTAGAAATATAAACATCTGCATCCTAAAGCTCTAAAGATCTGATAAGTCTACAACGGAGGTCGGAGACCGGTAAAACATCTTAAATGCCAATAACTTAAATACTAAAACTTCTTTATCATATTTATTTAAATACTACTACAACTGCTAGTCAGAAAATGTGTGACATTTATGTAAATTAGATAGGATTGTGAACTTAGTGTCTTGAAAATCGTGGATTAACGATTCATTGTACAGTCCTAATACTTCATTTAACGAAAGAGTAATGGAAAAAACGGAAGATTAAGCTAAGGGTGAACTTACCTCTTCTCGTTTTCTAGCTGCTCCATTCTCTTCCAGAGTCTATTTACAAACTGTTCTTGTTCAGCTTCCAGATGGTTCTCTAGATCAATCTTCTCCTTTCTTAGCTGAGCAGGAAGTAATTATGTCATTAAAGCAATTATCAGCGGTAATTGGTAAAAGAGGGCCAATGCATTCTCAGGATAGAAAATTTGTTGTATAATTTGAAATTTCATGATTTCTTACTGATCTGATTTTAAAAGTTAAATTCTTGAATAACGGCCACAACAAATTTAGAGTTTTTATGTTGATAATTCCTTCGCTATGTTAATAATTAAAGGTATTAACGTAATATAAGGTGTTAAAGTAAAAAGACGATTGACCGAAATAAAGCAAAAAAAACTTTTCTTCAAATTAATACAAAAGAGTCCACCATCAAACAGACAATTCTACAGCTCAAAGTAAAATTTAGTAGATAACGTATAATATGACCACTGTAGAAGGACTCTGAAAAAGTGCAGCATTTCACTGGTAACTTAATCCTGGATTACAAGAGGTTATCATTCGAGTTCACTAGTACCTGCATAGTACGTGTGTTCATGCAACATGATATCAGGCTGGAGCCGGTGGTGAAGGGGGCTAGTAGGGGAGAGCTGAGGTGGTGGCATGGGGGCAGAGGGAGGAGAGGGCAGCAGATGGGAAGGGGCGTGTGGAGGGGAGGGCTGATGGCAAATGAGGGAGAGAATGCAGGGGAGGGGCGGGAAGAGGGGGCTTGAGAGGGGATGATTACCCTTACCTTTATATTACCTTGTATATGATCTAACCATTACCAGTATCGTACAGCTTTTCTATTAAGCAGCCTATAATAACCTAGCACAACATTACACATTATATAAAGAGATGGTGGACACAGTGTGATGCTCGGTAACGAGCAGCTCAATTATACTGAGTTTGGTTATCAGAGTCCTGGTGCTACGATACATTGTAGGTGCGCTGTGGTGCTTCCATTTTATAGGTTATCACAGTCCTGGTGCCACGATACATTGTAGGTGCGCTGTGATGCTTCCATCTTATAGGCTATCAGAGTCCTGGTGCTACGATACATTGTAGGTGCGCTGTGGTGCTTCCATCTTATATGCTATCTTCTCACATTTTGAACTTTTGGCATTATGTAACACGGCGAATATTTCAACGTTTCAGACTCGTTCCTTCTTATCGTTATGATAGGAATGATCTAGAGTGAACTGATAAGATGGAATGCAAGAACCCAGTAAATGAAACATTAAGTGTCATTACATGATAAACGATGAGCTGTTAATCAGCTGATTTAGTGCGGGAACGCATTTTGGAGATTATAAAAACTCTAGACTTTTCGAGATCCTAACTAAATCTGCATTATAGCTAAAGACATTAGTTATAACAATTTAGCGATACCCAGGGTTTCCCTCTTAACCCTCCCTATACACACCTCGAGAAGTGCTTCCTGTTTTCTGACAACTTCACTCTCCAGTTTCAGTATTTTCCTCTGAAGATGTTGAACTTGCGACAACTGCTCCGATTCTAATGTCTCTTCAAGCTCACGTTTCTCTTTTCGTAACTGAAGATACAAAGATATCATTAGGTAATAGTTTTCTAAGCTTAGAAAGAAGACCTCACGTAACAAATGAAGTAGCAGCTCAGTAGTGCTAATGAAATGATTTCACAGAGGACTTTATTTAGCAGCTGGCATGTGTGTCGTGCTAACCGCTAACGTTGCACTGCGAGTGTACTTGCACGTGTATGTGCAAAATCAGCGTGCAAAATTAGCGTGCAAAATTAGCGTGCATGTGTGTTTGTGTGTTACTGCACGTGTACTTGTGTGCACGTGCGGAAATGCGTGTGTATGTGTGTGCGTGTGTGTACCTACATGTGTCTGTGCGCACCTGCACGTGTGTGTATGTGTGTGTGTACTGTGTATATGTGTGTACCTGCATGAGTTTCCTAGAGAGGTCGTTAGTAAGACACTCTTCCTCTTGCTCGTAGTCTTTAGCTAGCTGTTCTTTATCTTTCTTTAGTTTGGAGATGGTCTTCATCAGCGTGTTGGAGATAAACTCTTCTTCTTGTTCCGCCTGGAAATAATATTGTGAAAACTTGTTGTGATTGGCTGTTTTTTTGTCGATTAGTTTATTTCTTATAATTCAGAAATAAACTGTATTCAAATTATTATAACCTGTCATGAGACACACTTGTTGACTTATCCATAAACTTAAATTTTTATTAAACAAGAGCTGTTTTCTTAAAAATAACAAAATTATTTTTCATTGAATTTTTGACGTTTTGACAGTATGTACAAAGCAATAGATAAGGTTTTAGTCCACAAAATGATAAACTGACGTAGGAAAAACTAGGACAAACTAGAACCTGTGAACAAACTCATGACTTCATGAGGGTGTCCCGGACCCCAACCACCCACCGGTGCCCAAATAGGCCAAATCACCTTAACATACCCAACACCCAGATTTCAGGTGTTCTACCTGTAGCTAGTGGTCCCCTGAAGGGGGACCACTATACATATATCTCAGAGAATGTATAGTTTAGGCTTACCATTCATATAAAGTTGGTTTCATTCAAAAATATTGATATTTGACCATTTAATGTATGTATTAATGGGCCAAATTCTATCAAATTTGGTGCGTATGCCCAAATACTTTCAACACTACTATATAACAAATAATTTGAGGATGTCGAAAAAGAATGTCAGTCAAGCAAGTTCGCAAGTAATGCAGCACTAATTGGAAAAGGTGTGTGGGGGTGATGCGGGGTGGCCGGGTCGTGTACTCAGAAGACTAGCCATGGACTCCTGAAGCAAGTTGAGTAATTATCATTTTTCTACAATCAGCATCAGCACCGCCATAAACATCATCATTCAAATCCACGTCCACGTGACCCTACCCTGACCCTACTTTTAACCCTGCGAACTTGCTTGGCTACAGTCTGGATATCCTTAAATATTTGTATATATATGATACTGCTGTATGTAGTGTTGAAATGTATGGTGACTACGGTCTGCACTTGAAATAGAAGAGCCTCAATAAAATAGCAGTTATTATAAGTAATGGTTTTGTGAACCACTGCAAATAGCAAATTTACTAAAACGTATTGATATGTAATTACTTTATTGCTCATTTAATGTATGACAAATTCAAATTTAAATTATACTTTAAATTTATACTGATATCTTTGATTGTCATAACTCTAAAAGTATTAACAGATGAATATTAATTTTTTCTAAATGTTTAAAATTGCACTTGAGGTTTAGCTGTGCTTTTATCATTATGCTGTCCTATTCGTGTTAGAGTGAGAAGATTATTTAACCCAAGACAGTTATTCAATGGAAATCTAAAAAGTAAAGATATCCACCTGCAGTCTTGCAAAATCCCTCTCCCCATTTTTTCCCCTGTTATCTGCCTCCCCACACATTTTTTATTAAAAAATTTATATATAATACCCTCAGACTATTTACCCTTTATATGTGTACATTCATTCAGATTTGAGATTCTAACTAATATTTGTGTGGGATTGTTTATTGATAAAGTTGAAAATTTACATTGAATTTGAATTGATAGCCCTTCCTTACCCCAACCCCTCCGATCCTTACCCCAGCCCCTTCCCCCTCATTGCACATTCACTCCATTTTACATCTCATCCAAAACAATTGACGTTTCGATATACTTTATTCATTTTCAATCAACAATCGTACTTAATAACTCATTAACTAGCCTTAAATATACTGGTGATTCCTGCTAAGCTTAACGTGATCACTGATAAATTTATGTTACTCATCTCACTGCCGCCTAGCTTGTTTCAGGTTTACTGGTCTGGTTCGATGGGTCTGACCCTGGCCCCCTCCGCTCACCCCTGTACTCCGCATCCATTATCATCATGAAAAAGACCGACAAGAAACTCGACAGGAGATCGGACCTCTTTAATTCCACGTCTCGAGGGTGCAAGTCAGCTGGATCCACCCCTATTTCGAGCCCAGCTTTAAGCCGAAAAGTCACTAGCAGAATACATAATAGGAACACAGAGCCAGATGCAGATCTAACATCTGATGGAGACTTTGTAGATGTAGAGAGCAACGAACCAGCATCGATCCCAGGAACGCTACTCTCTAAGTGTCCCTGCTTTGTAGAGTCAAAGAACCCTGCAATCTTATGTGTTACTTGTAAGCAGACCTTCCATTCTAACTGTGTTAACCTTGCTGGCCTCACAGCAACTTCTCTAAAGAAGCTCAGCACTTCCTGGAAGTGCCCGGACTGCTTTATCTTTCCTTACACAAGAAGATTGAAGGAGGAGGAAAAATCCAAAGCGTTAACAGAATTCTTTAGCAATATTTCTAAGATATCAAAGTGTAATGAGGAACTCAAAGAAAGTACAACAACCATAGAGTTCTTCAACGAGCATATCAAACACCTCATACTCAAGGATCAGGACAGTTTCAAAGAACACTCCAAAAGAACAGAACGATTAGTGACTGGAATTGAAGATATCACTGAAGACATAGCTTCTATCAAGGGTGTACTTACGAAAGTAAAGGAGAGTGGCTCAGCTCTTGAGACAACCAGCAACTCTCTCAAACAGGAGATTGATGGCCTGAAGGACTCTCTCAAAAATATACCTATGACAGAGCAACCTCCGACTAACAGCAGTACTTTCGATCATGTTGACAACCTGATGACCCAGATCAAAGTGCAATTGGAAAAGATCAATGATCATGTATGTCCCTCAACGTCCACACAGAACTTTGATGAAGGTGAACTACCTTACAATGAATCTATCCTTATGACCCCTAACACTACTTCTCCTCACTTTGCTGCATCTCAAATTCCTGAAGGCCCTGCATGTGACCCTTATCTAACTTATCAGGAAGATATAGTGCCTGTTGAGCTTCACAGCAAACTTATAAAGCTGCTGGAGGACAATAGTGCGGATTTTTCTTCGGTTGGTGGCAGCAGGGATGTTGTCTACTTTGGTGAACATGGATACTGGTACACAGGAGCCTATCATCAGGCAAAGGAAACTCCACCGGAGATACAAGATCTTTTGGACTGTGTGCGTCCCTCTCTCCCCAATAGGAAGAGCTGGCTGAACTCTTGCCTTGTTACAAGATATACAGGCAATAGTAGCCATATCCCCCAACACTGCGACAATGAGGTTCTTATTGACCCAGAATCGATAATAGTCACTGTGTCCCTTGGTGAAGAACGCACAATAAAGTTCACACATAAGTCGACTGAAAAGTCCTTAAAGCTCAAAGATGGAAGTGTATACGTGATGTCCAGAATGTCCCAGGAAATCTGGAATCATGGTATTGAACCCCTCGCTAATGAAGAAGATGGCGAGGAATCTGAAGAGAAAACTTCTGTGAGGTACAGCTTTACCTTTAGGCATATTGCGCCTTTCTACAAAAATAGCACAGTGTTAATTGGAGACTCAAACACTAAGTACATTAAATTTGGTAAAGATGTTGGAACTCTAGGAAAATGGGTTCCCGGTAAGCGAATGTGGGCTGCTAAAATCGACGATATTCCTGCTCCCAAAGACATAGGCCCCTTTCGGAACATTGTTATACATACGGGAATCAATGATATTCGAGATGATTCCAACAGACCATCCACTAGAACACTTATTGCTAAGCTTAAGAAGAAATGTTGTGAAATTCAGCAATTTTATCCTAATAGTAAAGTTCATATTAGTTTACTCTTGCCCACCAAATCACAGTTTGTTAACTCACGTATAGGGGAGTTAAACAGTTTAATTGTCGACATGGTTTATAATAGGAAAAACATGTTTATTATAGATAACTCTGTACTAGGTTCTGTTAACGGATGTATGCCCTCTAAGTATGGTAGATTCTCACGTGATGGCACACCATTGGTCAATGATGTTGTTCATCTCGGGAGAGAAGGCCTGAAAATATTTTGTATGAACATAAAACGGTGTATTGTACAACGTGGTGGAAGTCAGTCCACGGAAAGATTTAAAGGTGGAAATGGTGACTATAGGAGTGCCCTAAGTAGGGGTAGTAGGGGTGATATCTTACCGATATGACCTCAATAAACTTCAATATTACAAGAGAGAGATGTCCAGGTTGTGATAGCAATGTACTAAGCCATCATAAAATCATAATATGTGAGAGTTGCGATACAATATATCATGCCAAATGTTCTGAACAGAGTTTTAAATTTGATCATGTTAAACAAATGTGGCACTGCAGTCAGTGTTACGCCTTCAAATCCCAAAGGTACAATCCTTTTAACTCAATTATTTATGACAAATATGATCCCAACACTGTAGAAAGAGACGAGGATATGGAGACTATTTCAAACATTCTAAAAGACTGTAGGTATTATAACATGACAAATTTCAACCGGCTGTCAAAAAACATACTTAACCATAACAAGCCGTTTATATCTATTGTGTTTAACAACATTGATGGGAACGCATCTAACTTTGACAGCTTTATTACTGATATGAGTCAATATGATGAGAAATTTGCAGTTATTGCGCTAGCTGAAACAAACATTAATGAGGAAAATAAAGATCTATACAAAATTGATGGTTACAGCAGTGAGTACAACTCTAAAACTGATGGGAAAAAGAAAGGTAGTGGCCTTGGTATATATATTGACAATCAGTACCAATACAGCCGAATCGAAAAGTTATGTAAATGCTCTGACAATCTTGAAACACTTTTCGTTGAGATCACTAACACAGAGGTTCCACAGATTGCTGGTGTTGTTTACAGGCCCCCTAGTGGTGATATTCAAGATGCACTTGCTGAGCTTGATGTGTTGATGAAATTTCTACCGTCTAATAACGTAGCCTTGACAGGTGACTTCAATGTTGATCTTTTGGCCCAGGGACGAAACATAGCTGAATTTGAACAAACTATCTACAGTAACAATTTAATCCCTTTGATATCGATTGCCACCCATGCCAAGCCGGGTTGCAATGAAAGCTTAATTGATAATATTTTAGTGAACTCTACTGAGCGTGTGTTAGGATCTGGAATTCTTGAATCCAAGATTTCCCATCATAACCCCATCTTCTGTTTCATATCGTGTAATATTAAAGAGAGTTCAAATACTGCCAAACTTAAACCTAAGTATGATTACTGTGAGTCTAATATAGAAAGTTTCCTTAATGATATTGGAAAGGATATCTACCAATCGAACTTTTCGTATGATGAGGAAGGTTTTGAAAAATTTGTCAAAACTGTCCACGAAAAAATCGAACTGAATTTCAAAGTGGACTGTACTGCTGGTTTTCAATCAAAACGCAATAGATTGATGAATCCATGGATCACTTCTGCGTTAATTAAATCTGTGTTTACTAAAGGCTTTCACTACAAGCGATGGAAGGCTTCGTGTACCAAAATCAACCCATTAGGTGAGGAAACTTTATATCTTAAGTATAAGGAGTATCGTTCTATCTTAAACAAAGCTATAAAATCTGCGAAAAAAGCCCACTATGGGAAAAAATTTGAACTTGCTAAAGGAAATATTAAAAAAACCTGGGAATTGATCAACGAACTCAGGGGTAAATCTAAAAAAGATATAAAAGCATCATTCTTAATTGATGGTAGAATTGTAACTGAACGCCGTGAGATTGCCAACGGATTTAACATCTACTTCTCGTCTATTGCTCGTAATCTTAATTCAAAAGTTCAATCTTCTGTACCATCTCGTACGGTAACTGATGGCAATTTCAATAAAACGAAGTTTAAACAATACCTCAAGGGCAGAGAAAGAATAGTGAACTCTTTTTTTCTCAGCCCCTGTGACGAGGAAGAGATAAGTAAAATTATTGGTAGCCTTGAAAATGGGAAGGCAAGTGATATCTCTGTTAAAGTCTTGAAAAAGAGTGTAAATTATCTGTCTGGTCATATCTCTAGATTCTTTAATTGGTTCTTGGACAATGGGGTCTTTCCAAACAAGCTTAAAACGGGCTCTATTACACCAATTTATAAAAAAGGAGACTCACGATGCCTTGATAACTATCGACCTGTTTCTACATTACCGATATTTGGCAAAATACTTGAAAAAATAATTTATAATAGGTTATATAATTACCTCAGTGCTATGAACGTGATTTATGATCGACAATTTGGTTTTAGAAAACAACACTCAACATCTCATGCCGTAAACTATTCTGTCAATAAAATACTTAATGAGATTGAACAGAAAAATCATGTAATTGGAATATTTATTGATCTAAGTAAAGCATTTGACACAATTGAGCACGATAAACTCCTGCATAAACTTGAACACTATGGAGTAAGAGGTATTGCACTAAAAACTCTTGCTAGCTATCTAACAAACCGTAGCCAAGTAACTTCTTTTCAAACTGAAAAATCGGACAAGTGTTCAGTTGAGTATGGTGTACCCCAGGGGTCAGTGTTAGGACCTCTACTATTTCTGATTTATATAAATGATATTGTGAGCTCCTCAAGTTTGGCAGAATTCGTCCTGTTTGCTGATGATACAAATATTTTTGTGATAGGTCGTTCAGCACAGGAAGCTTTTGAAAAAGCTAATCATGTAATGAAACAGGTCAGTAACTATATGGAGTCTAACAAGTTACATATAAATGCAGGGAAAAGTTGTTTTATGCATTTTCAGCCAGGTTTGTCAAGAGCAACACAGACCTGTGCTAGAACACGGCCCTTTAACAGGAATCTAACGATTTCAATAGATGGCAAAAAGCTAGAAAAAGTTCAATGTACAAAATTTCTTGGGGTGATAATAGACGAACAGCTATGTTGGGAACCACATCTTAATCATTTATCTTTAAAGCTGAACTCCAGTATTGTATCGATTAAGAGAATTTGCAAATTCATTCCCAAATCTGAATATTTGAAACTATACAATGCTCTTTTTATGTCACATCTTAGCTATTGTATAAGTTGCTGGGGTGGGATCCCTAAACATAAGCTGAATAAAATCTTTGCTATTCAAAAACGATGTATACGACTGCTATTTGGTAACATTCCCAATTTTGATCATAAAGAATACTACTTAACCTGTGCACGTTCAAGAACTTATAACGAACATATGGCTAAAAAGAACTACTGTCTTGAACACACTAAACCGCTATTCACTGAGCAGAAAATTATGAACCTGGAGAATCTGCACATGTACCATACATTTATGGAGCTATTCAAAATTCTTAAATTTGATGTCCCCCAGTCGATTAAAGATCTTTTCAAGTTCTGTCCTAGAAATGAAAAACTTCGTCTGATTGTCCCATTACTGAGGTTAGATATCTCCCAACAGAACTTTTTGTACACCACTACAAAAATATGGAATGATCTCATCCCCTATGTATTCGAAATATGTGATGCTAATGTAGATGGGATAATAATCCCGGGGTCTTCCAAAAATTCAGACTTATCAGCCTCGTCAGGTATTATTAAATCTAACCTTAAAAAGCACTTGCTATCCCTCCAAAATCGAGGTGACCCTAATATATGGTAACTAATCTATATTATATCTCAAATTCTACATCTGGTACGGCTCTGCACACATGATATCTCTCTCTGCCATGAAACATGGCTAACCTTTCAAACTATGATTTAAAACATAAACCTAAACTAAAACTCAACTGGGCTCTCCTATGTCACCAAACTAGACCAATAAGCAATTTTAGCTTAGATAATTATATTTTTCTATATTTGTATAATAAGTATTATATTGACGTAGTGGATGGTTGAGGGGGTTTCAAGCACAGGTCACTCTCAAATCCTAAAGATAAGCAGTGGCCTTCGGCACTTGAAACCTCTTCAAACCTCCCCTGATTTATTTATTATTGATATTGTTTGATTGTGCCGTAAAAATAAATATTTGTTTTATTAAAATATTTGTTTTATTAAAATATGGGCATATGGCTTTTGGCTTAAATAACTCAGTCATTTTTTGTCCAATGCTCCAATGGAAAACTGTCTGGATGAAAATCCATATACGAGTTCAGGGGACCACTATACTAGCTACAAGTAGACCACCTGAAATCTGGGTTTTGGGCATGTTAAGGTGATTTTGCCTAATTGGGCACAAATATGGACGCGGCTGCACCGTAGGCACCGGTGGGCGGTTGGCGTCCGGGACCCCCTCAAAAGTTTGGTCACAGGTCCTAGTTTGTTGGTCAACTGCTATGTCAGAATCAAGTTTCACAAAAATTTCATGCTACTTAAAACGTAGTGTAAACAGCTAAATTAATACCTGGGCCTGAATATCAACAGAAGCACGTTTAAGTTGTTCCACTTGACATTCCAGACCTTTGACTTTCATTTTTAACATACTGTTATCCACTGAAATAAACGGAACAACGTGAGTTTAGATAAACATTAATGGCCATGACATTGTTATTATTTGTGACCGGATAAAAATACTGAATGTTTATATTTTCTAGTTAAAACAGCAAATCAGAGCTTTGATCAATTCTTATCTGTCTTTTCTTAAGTTACTCACCCTGTAACATAGTGCTCTCCCCTTTCAAGGTCTCATATCTCGCTAACAGATCCCCGCTCTCTGAATCTGATTCCATTCTAGCTGAGATTGCGATTATAAATATAATAATAATAAATTAAAATTTAATAACACCGCTATTAAGATAAAACTTATACTCAGCAGTGTTTAAAATATAATGATACAACTTTTAAAATGTTTTATGAATGAACAGTGAACACTATGTTAGTCAAGAATTCGGGTTAAAAACGAAATAATTTTCCGAAAAACTAATTACAACTACAAATATTCTAGAAGGATTTAAGGATATTAAAATATTAAGATCAATTTTTAACAAGGGTAAAAAACCATTGAGTTATCATTATAACACCTGATAAAAATATGTCAACGTCAAAGTGCATGTGCGATCAAATTTATACATAATTATATGGTTTATTAGTGCGTGCAATGTGGTATAATTCCATGATCAGTGGTCACTGTAAAAGAGGGTGTAGACTATTGTAATAACTAATATTGCGAACAATTTAAAAACTTAGACCAATAAAATCGAGTAGCGAGTTAGTTAAAACTAAAATATATTCGCATTTCAACTCTGCAATTTTAATGACGAAAAATGTGACACTGTTTATTATACCTCATCACTCATCAGTTATTATACGTGAGTTGTTGATAGATGAATAAATTAATTATGTATCTATTACAGTGAGTCTAAAACAAAGTGATAAAATTTAATAAATTAAACGATTTCTTGTATTGTATGTGACTTTTTGTTTCATTCTTGAAGATCGATCGAACTTTATCATTGATAAAAAATGTGAACCTTATGCTTGTGGCCTTATGGCCTTTAATTGGATTTGACAGTATATTTTGGTTATATATTGGTTGCCGAACATAACGAACGCAAACGGTCCCGGTCCTATTAGTGCAGAAATGAACTAAAACGCTTAATCAATTCCATAAAACGCAAGTTAAACCCAGTGCAATGAATAGTATAATCTGAAATTACCAAAAATAAATAAACATCAAAAGATGGTTAAGCCTAAAACGATGAACAGAATTGCAATAGAAATAAAAACCCTTTAAAAACAGCATTTTTCATAGTTATCTATTTACGATAGAACTTTGACCGAGTTTAATACATACAAATATAATGCCATCGGTTAATATCTGTTACAATATTGTATTTAATCATTGTTCATTATCTCGGGTCTCCAGTTTCTGTTTTACTGATTTTAAGCAAATTCAAACTAAATACTGCCAGTCCTGTTCAGGACGTAATATCCAGCAGCAGATCTGTCAGATTGTTTACAAAGATACTTGATCATCAGGTTTCATCAACTTTTCGTTTCTTTGGTAACTTATCTTCTTCCTGTACAAAATGTATCACAAATAACTCCCATTATTAAGTGATAAAGTACTCATAATTAAGCTTCTTTATCTTATCATCTAATTATAATTGACATGTCACCTTATCGCAATTTTAAATTGATATCTACCAAACTTTTCAGAATCCAATAATATAACCCAGACAGGTACCGAAACCAAATATTAAAGTTAACGGGACTTTAAAGGCAAACCTGGCCGATGCCACGCTTGATGAACCGAGCAGCAGCATATTTATCTACAGTCTGATTAACAGGCACATTGTTCCCAGTGGGTGGCCTGACACCTTTAAGAGCACTTTCAAGCAACTTCACTTTCCTCATGTACATCTGTATCCTCTCCATTTCCTTCTTCAGAGGATGCTGCTCTAATTTAGCTCCCTGGGTTAAAGGATGTGATCGAACAACTCGATTTTAAGTGACTAAAAAACTTTCTTCTGTTATTACAGATCATACTTTCAATATTTCAATATCTAAATATTTCAGTCAGCTTGAAGTGCAATTACTTGAATCAAGCGCAAGCATAATTTTGAGCATTCCATGGTTGACAGTAGTTCTAGTAGATCTGAAAATGTTCACTAAGGTACCTTACAATATTACATAATGTTGGGTTTTACCTGAGTAGTCAAAAAAGACCAATACAACGAGTTCACTGTATATGCTGTGACAAGCTCTGACTTAGCTTGCTCAATAGGAGATAACAGATCATACATCTCGTCTAGTGGTGTATCAAGGTAGGGATCAAGGAGCTGTTCAACTGACTTCAGAGAGTTGTGGAAGTCGTGGAAAGTTCCAACCATTTCGTCTGGGAGTGCATCATCAGACATATCTAATGCTAACCCTGCTACAGTGAATTATTGTTACTTTTAAAAATTTAAGAGGATGTTCAGTGTCTGAAAACTTATTATCTTGTTTAAAGTAGAAGCATTTCAAAAGTGAAGCTTGTGAAGAAATTTGTCCCCATGGCGTCTTCAGCCATGATCCCTGTTTCCCTTTCCAATTTCCACTATCATCAATCATCATGCCAGTGTTGGCATGATGATGATAGTTCTGTAGCATTAACATTTGTTAAGCTTCTAAAGGAGTGGTGGACCAACCTATGTGGAAAAAAAACCCTGCCGTGATCATTATCCCAAGCCTTCCAAATCGATTCTTTTAGTTAAAGAGGAATACATTAAAACATATTATGCAACTCTTTTTTAAGACATGCATTTCAGCATGGAAACAACTAGGCTGGATTGGGTTCCTCTGATATTATTTAATACATGAATGTTTTCATTAATGAACCGACTCTGAAACCTGATTGGATGGAGTTACTTCAACATATTTGGGCCTTGCTCTTGCACAATCATGAATCGACTACACTCTAAGAGCTGATTGGAGATTACACCTAAACGTTCCAACGAACTCAAAGAAGCACTAAGCAATTGTGTCCACTAGCTTGCTACTGTAACGCGAGAGTACAGAGTAACGACAGAGGTTAGGTCACATTAAGTATTAATCATCCTGAAAGGACAGGTATATTAGTATAAATATAATCTTAGAACATTCTCCCCGGCTGAAAAATCAGATCACACCTTATATAGTTTATTAAAATTAATTAAATCTCTCATGACATCACAAAATCCATAAAACAGGGATATAAAATTAACAGGAAATTCATAAAACGGTAATAAAAATTCATAAAAACAGGGATACAAATTCAAACGCACAAGAATCGTCTCCGCGCAGCTCTATCATAAAATAGATCACCAATGTTTATTAGACATCTTCATGATAAAACCAAGTTCTCGTGCGTTACGTAAAAGTAATCAGATTGCTACAAAAGTGTGACGGCACAACGTGCACACGCATAAATATAATTTTAGGTTTTAAAACTGCCAATAATAAAAATGTCTCATCAATAATGAAATAATCTAGGCTTTAAAACTGCCAATAATAAAAAATGTCTCCTCAAAAATGAAATAGTCTCAAAATCATGCAGTGATCAAACACGATCCAATGTCTAACCAGCCTGGAAGCGGTCAGGAGGACGAGATTCCCTAGCTGAACGGCAAGGGAGGGGCTCAGGCCGTTCGGAGAGATGACTTGAGGTTCAGGGATGCAGGAGGAGGTTGGAGGGTTAGAGGGAGCAGGTGTAGAGGGAGCGACCGTAGCAGAGGCACTGGCGGTATTTTTCTGGGGCACTGGCGGTATTTCTCTTACAGCAGATCATGTGGAGTTTTTGGCATTAGATTCGCTGACTGGTAGACGTGCCAAGTCCCTCAACGAAACAGTGTCCTCACGGCCCCCTGGGTACCTGACTCTAGCATTTGCGGGGTTGACTGAGACAAGGTCGACCTAGTCACATAATGGGTCATACTGAGACCTTCGAACATGCCTCTTGGCCAGCACCTTCTTTTGAGTCAATAGCCATGAGGGGACTGGTTTACCGGAAGCGGATCGCCTTTAGAAGGAGAAAAGGCATTCATGGGGAGTCTGGTTAGTGGCCGTACAGAGCGGAGTCCTTTGAGCATGAAGTACCTCGGGTAGGACTATCTCCCAATGGGTCAGAGGGAGCTTTTTACTTGATAGAGCTAGCTGAATAGCCTTCCATATGACGCCATTGTATCGTTCAACCTGGCTGTTTCCACAGGGGTTGTACTTCGAACTATGACTAAACCCTATCCTGTGATCTAGGAAGAATTTACGGAGCTCACTGCTTATCAAGGAGGGGCCAAAGGGGAACCTGCTATACTCATCTATGATGACCAGCATATACTTATTCTTCGTACTCGATGGCAGGGGTCCCTTGAAATCAATACTAATTCGGTCCAGGGGTTTTGTTGCTTCTATTAGCGGGGGGTTAAGAGGTCTAATGAACTTTGGCTTAATCCTAGCACAGTCCCCACAATCGGCAGTTACTTTCTTGACTTGATCGATGGAGAAAGAAATGTTTCTGACCCTAACAAAGTGATATAACCTGGCCACACCGGGATGACAGAGATTTTCATGAATATCAACCAGGTCAGGGTAACCGTAAGCGAGGGCTGAACAGTAGGCTCGCGAAAGGCAGTCAGCTGTGACGTTTTCGGGCACGGGCCGATACTTGATATCAAAGTCCTGTGTTGAGAGCTCGATCCTCCAGCGCTGTATCTTATTGTTTTTGATCTTCCCGTGGGTCTGATGACTAAAAGAAAGAGATAGCCTGTTGATCGGTGATGAGAGTGAATTTTATCTGAAAACTGGCCACGGGCCTAAATATTACATGTCAATCAATTACAATTCATTAACATTACCAATATTTAAAACTGATAGCGGTCAGGGGTGAGAGAGGGAGACGGCAATCGTATACATTGCCAGTCAGTGTAACATCGTTTAACTTGATACCTGCCACCATGGACTATGCATGTTTCTAGACACTATCCTTTTGATATTGAGATATTGGTATCTCAGATCACGTGTACATCGTTCCTTTTTTCTGACACAGTAATTTATTGACACTCACAGCTATAATTTTAATCATTGAATCAGTTTTTTAACTGTGCTCTGCGTAATGCATCACATGAATCAGTTTTTTAATCTATTAACTTATTACACATTTGTGCTCTGCTTTAGCATCACTTGACTATTTTTTTATAAATTGTTTGTTCAGGCCATGACCTTATAGTCAGCCAATTGGCCATTGCTATAATATGTGTATATTGTTTGAATATTCTTTCTTCTTGTGAAAAAAAAAAAAAAATAATATATATATATATATATTTAAAACTATCGAAAATATTCAAAAAAGTATTCTCTAGCCAAAGGGCTCACTATTTAAATCTAAATCTTCAATATTGTCTGGTTTATATCGCAACTTGGGCCCTCTGTCCCCCCTTAGTGTGAATTTTATTAGAGCTTGCAGTCTTGTTGTGACCAAAATTCTACACTAAAACATTCTTTAGTTTATATTGTGTAGTTCAAGGATATAAATTTTTTATTTTTTTGTAAAATTATTCAAACAATATACACATAATATAGCAATGACCCTATATAAAATCTACCCTTTAAGAATTAAAAAAGTTTCCTAAACAATCAAAAATTACCCTTGGCCTTGTGGCTCCAAGTTAAGATCTAGACTGTTTATATCAACAATGTTTTTTCTTGCACCTCTGTCTCCACGGAGAGAAATCACTGTTGTTCTTAGGATTTCAAAGCGAAGGCGCTTTCTAATGTATCCTACATCATCCGAGGATATAAAATGAGGCTTCAAGCTAGGTGGATATTGGAGAGCTGGCGAAAGATTATGGCCTTTGTATCAATGGTTATAATCAAACATGCCTTTACTTTTAATAATGTATTAAAACATGCTTGATCATAAATTTACTTTCAGAATGCAGCGAAATTCTTTTAATTGAGTTGCGGCAATGACGTTTAAACATTGTGCATTAAAAATTATAAACGAATAATTACCCAATAACATATTAATGCATGAAGCAATTTTACAAATACCGCGGGAAACAAAACGCAATTTTTCGTGCCGCATGTCGGTAAATTTGACATTACATTTGTTAAACAGCGCAGCCAGTACAATTTACAAATTTTTAAAGAAAAAACACTTTTTAAGCGGCATGCGCGGCTTTTGTAAGTCACAAGTTTTGTATCAACATCTGAACCATAAAATCAGTTAAAGCTGTGTAAGTTTTGAATATCGTAATTTAATGTTCAAACTAATTTGTTTCATAAATTATAAATTAGTGATTAGACTATACGTAAATGTTTTTAATGTTTCCGTGATTTAAATATTTATATTATAATACCTATGCAACTATTATTTTAGGTGCGCCGAGTATATTTCAGTTGTGCGTTGCCAAGTATGTATAGGGATTGGCGTGTCGGGTAAATTTACGAGCCGCGCATAATTTTACAGGTTTTTCGTACTTTTAAAATTGAGCACCGGCCAAACTAGAATTTGTATGATTTTAACAAGGATTAATTGATCGTCGTATTGGGGGCCGGCTACCGGCTTATTTTGGCTGCTTCATGCATGTATGTTGCCTGTTTTCAATACTGTTTTCTTGTCTCAGTGAAGACCTTGTGATATTTTGACTGACATCGGTCTCCATCTCGATCTTAAATTTTTTGTCTTTACAACCTCAATCCATTACAATTGTTCGATTGATCGGGGAACCCTCAACGGAGAGTTAAACGAAAAACAGTCATGAAAAAGTAACTTGGATGTTTTTCAGTGTACAGTATTAACATTATAACCTCACGTGTCTGAGTCTTTTTTCTTGAAATTGTTGTTTTCTTGAACAATCCAGCTATCGGGTACAGAGTCATCACTCATCATGCATGTCCCGTTGTGAATGTATTAATATACAATGAAGTCCTTCATCTTATTATGTTTTCATACGATACAATTTCAAATTTGTCAATTTGTCAACTTACAAAAATGAGAAATTTGGGTATAAGTGGTAACACTTTAGATATTGTGAAAGACTTTTTATCTGGAAGAAGATTTAAAACATTTGTTGGTGGAGCATATTCCTACCTTCGTGATGTTTTATCAGGCGTCCCACAAGGGTCTGTTTTAGGTCCTTTATTGTTTGTCATTTTTATCAATGACTTGCCTGATTGTATTAATGGTATATCAAAACTGTTTGCAGATGATCTTAAAGTTATTATGGATGCCAATGACACTGAAAGCACTTTCAATATGTTAGAAAGCTTGCAAAACTGGCAAAATGTGTGGCTGTTAAAGTTTAATCCTAGCAAATGCAAAATAATGCATGTTCCATTTAATGAAAATCCCCTTCAAGAATATGTATTTAGTGGTGTTACACTTGAATGTATTGAAGCAGAGAAAGATCTTGGAGTTTTAACTTCTTCAGATTTGAAA